TTTGATGTCAGCCAAAGGCTGAACCAGAGGCTGGCAGCCTCTAAGTTAATGCTAAATTGAGTGAGTGCCAAGAAGGGATGCCAAAAGGCATATGATGTGCATGTCAATGTCAGCATAAAAAGATCCTCTGTCCTGTGTGTGTGTGTGTGTGTGTGTGTGTGTGTGTGTGTGTGTGTGTTCCTGCATGCTTTTGCTAAGTCACTTTGCATGTAAGCGCCTGGTGTCTGTCATCTACAAAATGAAGTGTTGCAGGCCTGAAATGGTGTCTGAGTTGGTAGGAGAGCAAGCATGATGTGATGAAGCTCGTGGTTTACTGATGTGGAGCTGCATGGATATAGGTTCGAGGAGGATGGTTACCATGGAGTTTTATGGGCATTGTCCAAAAATGGCAAATATGTAATTGCCAAGGCATGTATTTGGTGAGTTGCTGCAGCCAGGTACTCTCTCAGTTTTACCTGTGAGGTTTTTGCACCATGTAATTTCTTGGGGAAGAAGAGGCGTTTTGGAAGTGAGATGTAAATAAAGTCAGTTGGGGCTACCATGATTCACAAATAAATGGAAATTAGGTTACTGCCACTCAAGGGCAAGATTCTGAAATTGGGAGAATTTTTCCTGACGTTGAGATCTGCTGTTTTTTCATTCTTACTCTGTTTTATCACCCTACTCACCGTTACTTTTGCCACGTCAGAGAAGGGGAACTGAAATTAACACAAAGTATGGGACTAGTAAATCAACTGCTTTAAAGCTGTAAAGATGGAGGATTGACATTTTGCACCTCGGGGATAGCAAGGACTGCAGATGCTGGAAGTCGGAGTTGATCAAATGTGGAGCTGGAGAAGCAGAGCAGAGCAGGAAAGTCGACATTTCGGTTCTGGACCCAAGACCCGAAATGTTGACATTTTGCATGTTTTGTTTAAACATAATTCCCTTACGCACAAATTTTCAGAAATGCAAAGCTTTCAGAAGTCAACAGACTTGTTTTGTACTTGGACACAATTTTGAGAAAGTTCCCAAAAAAATCCTCAGCTTTCCTCCAAAATGCCAACTGTAATTCATTGTAAATAACATTTAAATAAACTGAAATAATACTTTTAAATGATTTTCAACGTCAACTTTTATTTAGGAAACCACAATAAACATTCCAGTCTGTGCTATAAGTGCACGATGTGTTTCCTGCAGCTTCCTTCAATTTTGCAATAAAGCTGACTGCATGGTCATTGTTTAATTTCCCACTGTGCAAAATCGACAAGCCAGAGCCAAGATAGCACCAAGACTGACAAAACAATGCTCGGACACTCTAACAGTGCCCTTGAAGATGCAAATCTCAACAATTAATTATCTGATAAATTTCTGGGAATAATTCAACATGGTGCTCAGTTACGAGTGGTGTACCACAAGGATCTGTTCTGGGTCCTCTTCTATTTGTGATTTTTCTAAATGATTTGGATGAAGGAGTGGAAGGGTGGATTAGCAAGTTCGCGGACAATACGAAGTTGGGTCGAGTTGTGGATAGTGCAGAGGCCTGTTCTAGATTACAAAGGGACATTGATAGGATGCAGAGCTGAGCTGAGAAGTGGCAGATGGAGTTTAACCCTCAAAAGTGTGAGGTGATTCATTTTGGAAGGACAAACTTGAAAGCAGAATACAGGGTTAAAGGAAAGATTCTTGGCAGTGTGGAGGAGCAGAGGGATCTTGGGGTTCATGTCCACAGTTCCCTGAAAGCTGTCACCCAGGTGGATAGAGTTGTTAAGAAGGCATATGATGTGTTAGCTTTCATTAATAGAGGGATTGAGTTCAAGAGCCGTGAAATTATGCTCCAGCTATACAAAAGTCTGGTTGGGCCACATCTGGAGTATTGTGTCCAGTTCTGGTCGCCTCATACAGGAAAGATGTGGAAGCATTGGAAAAAGTGCAGAGGAGATTTACCAGGATGTTGCCTGGAATGGAGGGAAGGCCTTACGAGGAAAGGTTGAGAGAGCCAGGGCTTTTCTCTTTGGAACGACGAAGGATGAGAGGTGACTTGATAGAGATGTACAAAATGATCAGAGGTATAGATAGAGTGGACAGCCAGAGACTTTTTCCTAGGGTGGAGGTAGCTGTTACGCGGGGGCATAGTTTTTAAGTGAGTGGAGGTAGATATAGGGGAGACGTCAGAGGTAGGTTCTTTACTCAGAGAGTGGTCGGACGCGGAATGCATTGCCGGAGAGGGTAGTGGAGTCGGCCTCATTAGGGGCATCTAAGCAGCTATTAGATAGGCATATGGATGATAGTATAAGGTAGGGGTGGAGGTTAGATAGACCTTGGGATTAGGGTAAAAGTTCGGCACAACATCGTGGGCCGAAGGGCCTGTACTGTTCTATGTTCTAATTCACTGATGGATTGGTGTCAGTTGTGATGGATGTTTTACAGTGCTTTGCTGACATCTGAAGTTGCTTGTAATTGCACCATGCTAGAAACTGTCATGGAGCATTCCGATGAACTCAGAAGTAGATGAATTATGCATGCAAAGAACCGAAGCACGTGATTTGAAATAGATCTCTCACCACCACAACAGTACCAAACACAGGAGAAAGAAAAATGGGAGGGGGCAGGGAGGAAAGAGAAATCCCCAGGACTTTGTGCAAAGCTAGAGAGGAAACTGTAGGGGCCCTAGCACAGATATTTATATCATCGACAGCATCAGGTGAAGTGCCCGAAGATTGGACAGTGGCTAATGTTGTTGTGCCATTATTTAAGAGAGGCTGTAGGGAAATGCTTGGGAACTACAGACTGGTGAGCCTAACATCTGTGGTGGATAAGTTGTTAGAGGGATTGTGAGAGATAAGATCTACAGGCATTTGGAGAGACAAGGATGCATTTGGGATAGTCAGCATGGCTTTGTGTGAGGGAAATCGTGTCTCACGAATTTGATTTTGAGTTGTTTTTTTGAAGGGGTGACCAAGATAGTAGCTGAAAACAGTGTGAAAGAAACAGTGTGTCTGCATGGACTTTAGCAAGACCTTTGACAAGGTACCTCATGGTGGGTTGTTGAACAAGTATAAATCTCACAGGATCCAGGGAGGGCTGGCCAATTGGATACAAACTTGGCTTGAAGGTAGAAGAGGGTGGTGGTAATTTTTCAAACTGGAGGCCTGTGACCAGCAACAGGGATCAGTGCTGGGTCCACTGTTATTCATCATTTTATATAAATGATTTGGATGACAATCTAGGAGTTATGGTTAGTAAGTTTGTGGATGATACCAAGATAGATGGTATAGTAGACAGTGAAGAAGGTTATCTGAGAATACAACAAGATCTTGATCAACTGGGCCAGTGGGCTGAGGAATGGCAGATGGTGTTTAATTTAGATAAATGCAAGTTGTTGCATTTTGGTGGGTCAACCTGGGGCAGGACTTACACAGTCAATAGTAGGGCCCTGGGGAGAGTTATAGAACAAAGAAATCCAGGGGTTTGGGTTCCTTGAAAATGAACTCCCAGGTAGACAAGGCGGTAAAGAAGATTTTCAGCATGCTTGCTTTATTCAGTCAGAGCATTGAATATAGGAGTTAGGACATCTTGTTACAGCTGTACAAGACCAACATGGCCACATTTGGTGTACTGTGTGCAGTTCTGGTTGCCTACCCTAGAAACGATATTATTAAACTAGAAAGAGTGTAGAAATGATTTACTTGGATGCTGCCTGGAAGAGAAGATTTGATTTATTGGGAAAGGTTGGATAGGCTGGGACTTTTCCCTTGGAGCATAGGAGACTGAGGGGTGACCTCATAGAAGTCTATAAAATCATGAGAGCCACAGATAGCCAACAGCTTTTTCTCATCGTAACAAAGTCTAAAACTCGAAGCATAGGTTTAAGGTAAGAGGAGAGAGATAAAAAAGGGTCTGGGGGCAATTGTTTTCACACAGAGGTTGGTGGCTGTTTGGAACGGGCTGCCAGAGGTACTGGTGGAGGCGAGTACAACTTTGTCATTTAGGAAGCGTTTGGACAGGTATATTGGATGGGATGGGTATGGAGGGAAATGGACCAAATGCAGGCAAATGGGACGGGATTAATTGTGAAAACTGAGCAGCATGGGCAAATCAGGCCTATGGTCCTGTTTCCATGCTGTAAACTTCCCTGACTCTATAAAACTGAAGGGGTGGTGGGGTGGAAATGGTGAGGGGGTGGGGAGTGAGATTTGGTTGGGGTGTGGTGGTGGTGAGACATGTTGGGGAGTGAGATGGGAAGTAATGACTGTGGGTGTTGAGGGTGGTAGAGAGTTAGGCCAGATGGTGGGGACTGTCTGAAGGTGGTAGGGAGATAAGCCAGGGGTAAAGAGTGAGAGTGGTAGGGAGTTAGGCGAGTAAATGGGGAATGAGGACAGGGGAGACTGGCTCCATAAATATATATGCGTGAGTTGAAGTGGTGTATCATGCCCATGCGCATGGTGTCGATAGACATAGCCATGCAAATAATGCAACATTGAAAGTGTCACAACATTCACATAGGATGCTTTATATCATTGGCAAGAAGACAATCACTACAGGGAGTGGGCAAAGGGTCCATTGTAGTGTTCTAGCAAAGGCAAATTAATGTTTCAGTGACTGGTACGTACAGTTGGGAGAACTGATATTACAGAAACTGCTTAAGATCCATTTCCACTCTCTCTGGTCCAGAAGAGCTTTGATATTTTTCAGATGTATTTGGCATAATATGATGTGTAACAACTTGAAACAAAATATTACACTGCACTGTTCAGTCAGAACATACAGCTGTGATATGGTCATAAATATCTTCGAATTTTATCACTGTACAATTTTGACTGACGTGACTGACTTGAAATGCATCGTCTTATCTACTGTTTATGATTTTAGCTCTTCATTTCCCGGCTCAGAACTTTAAATATGGCTTGAAATTACTTGTCTATAAAATTTACTCTGGTTTTAGATGTAAATAATAAATCATTCTTCTCAATGCAACAACTATCTGTTGATGTTTCTGAATGGAAAATATTTGGCCACAGTTGTATTCAAAAACATTTATTTCATGTTATTTTTTATTTACTAGTGGCTGTTCAATTCAGGAGTGCTGGGATCAACAGCATTGAGAAACCAGTTGTTAACAGCTTCCTTGTTTTCATTAACCCATCTGATATTGGCCTTGGTCCTCTCCAAAGCTTGTTCTAGTGCCCGAGTCCCAGAACCAAATCCAACATCCTCGTTATCTGTCTTAAACTGCTCAAGCTGTAAAGAATGAAAATAATAAAGCAAATGGGTTATCATATGTTGATTTAAACCAAGCATGGACATATTTCTCATGACAGCAGTCTGGTGTCTTTCCAGAAAATGTTTAATCCTTAATAATTAGCGTTGTTAATAAATTTGAAAAATGCTAAGGAATAAGAAATTCCTTAAATTGTTCAATTTGTTTTCACAGATTTAAAACTTTTGAAATACTGTACAGAGAAGCCTTATTCTTAATCACAGTAATGATATTCTTAATATATTATAACACCTCCAATCTACGGGGATATGGAAAGAAAAATATAGAAACACAGTGACCTTGAGGTGCAGATGCATGACTTTGGTTTGCTTGTACAATAAGATAACCTCTACACTAATGTACCCACTGATATTAGAGTAAGAGAAACTATTTCCTCTGCCGTGAGTGTCAAAAACAAGGTCATATAATCTCTACACTGCAGCTAGGCCATCCAGTAAGAAATAAGGAAGTATTTATTTTCACAAAGGATAGTAAAAATCTAGAATTCATTTCTTAACAGGCTATAAAAACTGGATCAATTGAATATTTCAAGGCAGTAACACAGATTTTATGTTGGGCACAGCACAAAGGCAGGACTGTGGCACTGAGATTGAGATAAACCATCACTGACTATCATTGAATGATGAAGGAAGCTAAGTGGCCTCCTCCTATTTAATTTGTTTAAAAGGTTAAAGTTTGGGGAAATTTCATCAGACATTTCAATTACAGTTTACAAAAATGTTTTCAATCAAATGTTACAAGTCCTGCATAAAAGTCCAATTAATTTATTTTCCTTTCTCTGAGTTTCTTATTCTCAAGTTATTGTCTAGTATGTTCTGTTGAATTGCTGATAGATGGAAATTTCAGGAAGTGCTTTATAATTTCCGGGACTTCCTAAAAACATATCAAGTGTTTAAACACAGGGGTTATAAGGTTGATAGTAGTAAAATGGGAAGCCAGACCTGAAGCAGAATCACTTTTCAATTTTAAATGTGCCTTTTACAATCCCAAAAAATCCCAAAATGCCTCACAAATCAAATACTTTTGAAATATCATTTTTGTAATGCAGGAACTATTTCAGAAAATCTGTACACAGTAAGCTCCCAAAAGCAGTAATATTATAATGACGGAATTGTCTATTTTAGTAATGGTAACTGAGATAAAAAAGCCTGTTTTGCAATACTGCCATAGGATGCCTGAACATTAAGTTATCTGATTGGCAGTTTGTTTAACATAGCAGCTGGTGAAACTGACTGATTAACTTGATCAATCTGTGGTGTAGGAGAAGTGAGTTTTACCCATGATGTGAGAGCAGTTAAATTATAACCAAGAGACCAAGACTAACATAGTAGAATGGTCAAAGTCAACACCAACCTGTCTCAGTTCAAATTCTGTTGAAAATCGTTGTGTCACTCCATTTATCAATGACGAGAATGAAAATGATCCACCACCATATCTAAACAATGAAATAGTTCAAATATTAATCCTCTTACAACAGAAAAAATATAACAGTAGCCTCAATGAGGGAAATTCCAATAAAACTGAAGTTCAACACTATCCAGGTCAAGCAGCCCACTTGCTTGGCATCCTATCAACCTTAAACATTGACTCCCTCTACCATCAATGCACGTTCGCAGCAGTGTGTACATATGCACATACAATCATGTATGATAGGAGCAGAAGTAGACCATTCTGCCCTTTTAGCCTGCTGCACCATTCAATAAGAACATGGCTGTATTGTTTGTGTTTTGAATTCTAATTTCCCATCTACATACATTAATCCTCAATTTCCTTGCCTAACAAGAATCTATCTACCTTTGTCTTAAAAAACATTAAACTACCCATTTCCACTACTTTTTCATTCTTCCTGCTAATCCTGTTACATCATACTACTTATTTCGAGGTTTTTGACCACTCAATCAATTCACCTTAATCCCGTACAGCTCATGTCGTCTTCACAGTATACTTCCCTACTTATTTTGACATTGTCTGCAAATATAACTACTGTGCTTTTTCTATTCTCACCCAAGTCATTAAAATTAAATGTAAAAAGTTGAGGCCACATACAGATGCCTGTAACACGCCACTCATCACATCCTGCCAATTGTAAAAAGACCCATTTATTCATACTCTTCATTTTCTGCCAGCCAACCAATCCTCTGTCTACAATAATGTGTTACCACCTATACCTATAGCTGTTACTTTCCAAAAATACCTTCGAGGCACCTTATCAAATGACTTCTGAAAATCTAGGTACAATATATCAACCAGCTCCCCTTTATCTGCAAGGATCTCTCTAAATGGTAAAGCAGACGCAATGGGCTGAATGGCCTATTTTGCTCCAAAGTCTTTTTATAGTAGAAAATTAACAAATAGAACCTCTAAATGTAGTAATCCCAGTACCACAGGTAAGTGCCTACAGAAGCATTAGGATAAGGTAGACAAATATGTGCTGGAAAGATAGTGCAGGAGGAAGGGCTTTATTTTTCTAGGACACTGGGACTGGTTCTGGGGAAGATGGCACCTGTACAAGCTAGATGGGTTTTGAGGATGGTTGGCTCGCAGACGTTTCATTACCCTGCTGGGTAACATCATCAATGCAGCCTCCGATGAAGCGCCGGTGTGTTTTCCCACCTGGTTTTTAAACTCAGGAGTCCATTGAGCTGGATTGCCTCACTTCCAGTTTTTCTTTCGTAGTGGAGTGTATATGGGGTCGAGTTCTGTGTGTTTATTGATGGCTTTCTTCGTGGAGTACCAGGCTTCTAGGAATTCCTGTGCCTGTCTCTGCTTAGCTTGTCCCAGGATTTTGGTGTTGTCCCAGTCGAATTGTTAGTTCTCCTTATCCATGTGGATTGTGATGAGTGAGTATTGATCATGTCTTTTTGTAGCCAGTTGGTGTTCGTGTACCCTTGTTATTAGTTTCGTTCCTATTGGTCCGATGTAGTGTTTCTCACAGTTTCTGCAGGGGATCTTATAGATGACATTGGTCCTGTCCATGGCAGGGAGTGGGTCTTTAGTTCGGGTGAGCAGTTGTCACAGGGTTGCATCTGAATAGAACTGGGCCTGAGTTCCTTATGACAACAAGGTGCAGGGCTGGATGAACACAGCAGGCCAAGCAGCATCATAGGAGCAGAGAGGCTGACGTTTCGGGCCTAGACCCTTCATC